TTTTTTTTTTATCTTTTCCCAACTCAAAAAATTACCTCTTTAATATATACATTTTTTTTAATGTATGGCCTCTCAAATCAATTAAATAACACCTGTAAATGCTTAGAATGCTGGACCCCCACCGGGGATTTGGCCCTGGACCCCCGGGGGCCCTTGGTGGCCCCCTGGCCCCAGCCAATGGTGCTCGCAAGTGCCCTTTCAGTATCAAAAAGAACCCCCCTACCAAAATCCTAGCTACGGGCTTGCTCCTCCTCCTGTTTTTGAGGAAATAAATATTATCATTTTTATTAATACAAAACAAAAGGAAATTATTTATAGTGATAATACTTTATAGATTCCACATAAAATGTTATGAATATGTAGTGCTTTGTCTAATCTTTTATAAACTCTTCTTTTAAAATTTGTTCTTTAAATTTATTTTCATTTCAAAATATATCTACTTTCTTCTTATAAATTTTGTTCTTACTTTGTATTTATGGTAAAGACAAGACAAACCATCACTTTTCACAAAAATCGATTTAAGTCTGACATTTCATTATAAGTTACAGGAGTTATATATAAGTTAAATATACAGCTGTTTAAACAAACAATATTTGAGAAATCAGCCTTCAAAGTTTATGATTTTGGGAATTTCTCAGGCAGAAACCATCACCAAATCATTAAAAATTGTTGTTTTAACATTGAAAATGGGGAAAATAACAGGATAGCATGATGTATAGATATATCAAGGTTAGTTTAATGCAATGAAATAGATTTCAAAAATGTTGAGTAACTGGTTTTGCTTGTCTTTGCCACATTTGATTATTGTTGGTGAGATTTATGCAGATAAACAGACTACAGGTTTAGAACCAGTAATATGGTGATGAAGTGTTTTTTATGGCTAATTAAAATTACAGTATTATTGTCTGCCAAAATCAGGTCAGTGAATTTGGGAAGCAACTTTTGGCATTGAATGTCTCAGGTTTTGAAAGTACTGTATTCTCTGCAAGCAAATTACTATCTGGTGACTGTGCACAACAAAAAATTAATCTAAAAATAGATTTACCGTTTCGGTCAGTTCTAGTTGATCATCAGGTTTAATCAGAGTCTTGCCCTATATAAAAATGCAAAGAAACATGCAATTAAGACAACACTATAATTAAAAGCATACCTTACAAGTGGACTGCCAATTACTTGTATTACAGTGCATTGTTGTGCACTTACAAGTATTCTCTTACATCTAGTTCACATGTGCGATAGTTGTTAGTTTACTGTTTAGGACATCACACCAAGAATAACCCACTAAGTCCAAAGACTTGTTTCCAGTGGGGTCCTTCTGGTGGTAAATTGGGCAGTATGCTGGCAGACAATCAATCCCCTACTCTTTTCCGAAGAGTGTGCGTTCTTTAACACGCACATGAGCCATATTGCACACGGGACCAACGGCTTAAACGACTCATCCGAAAGATGGTACGCTATCCTAACTTGTATTTCAGCCCTCCAGCTGAAACATAAGAGCCGTGATAGGAATTGAACCAGGGACTTTGAGATCTCCACGGTTCAGTGCACACACAGTTTATCTGACTGAGCTATGATGTCAGTGCTAATACGTGTTTGTTGAAAGAATAATTGCCGCATAATGTAATGGAAATACTGCCTAAAATTATTAAAATTTATGAATATGTAGGGATAGTTTATACAAAAAATGCTATAGGTTTACTCACCTGCATCCATTCTTCTCCATGTCCTTGGTCACCTGCTTCAGTCATATCATCATCATCCTATAAATTAATCAAACAATGAATCACATAACCAATCAATCAATCCAATTAATTTATCAATCAAACTTTTGCTGACAATTTCATATTGCTTGAAGTTATGTTTACCATTCTTAATAAAATAAAAATAAAATATAGATAGAATATAATTATAAACCACTTACTAAATGATCCCGGCCCCCAACCCCACAAAAAAAAACAAAAAACAAAAAAAAAAAGAACACAGTGGATAATGTCCCTGACAGAGCCCTCATTGAGCAACCATATATTCTATATATAATAAAGTGGATATACTACTAATTTAAAATTAAATTTAGCCTACCTTCATCAAAATTTTTCCCGGTGCAATGCTGACCCGTTGGGGCCGCCCCACTTGCTTTGCTTTACTAGCGCCAGGTTGTCCAACCTTCGAAGTTAAAAACAAAACAGAAATTATTTCACAAAATAATTCAAATAACAAGATACCGAGTTTATCCAAGACATAGGCCCTAGGCTAGGCTAGCCCTCATTAACGCACTGATGCAGCAGTTGTTGCGCCTCATCAGACAGCCCTGAAATCCAACTCCAGTGCTGACCTAGGCTAGGCCTAGGCTAAGAAGTGAGATGGTCAGAACTTTAAAAAAAGAGAAGTTACGATACGAAAAGAAAGGCAAAATATCCTATTATACCTGCTTCTTTGTAGCACCTTTCGGTGGCATTGCTTTTGCATTTAAATACAAGCTTCACTTTCGCAAAAACAGAACGCTATCTGTCTGTTCGTTGAAAGTCAAAGCTTGGTTGGTTGCGAAGCGTTGCGATAGCGGAACTTATTTTAGCAGTCTGTTGTTAGGGTAATTGAAGGAATTTAAAACAAACCTAATAAAAAGATTGTTAGTAACAATTAATTCTTTATAACTTTAATAATATACAAGATATAAAATTACGGTTAATTATTATTGAAATGTTAAATTTGAAAGCTTTAAATAAATATTCTTATGTATCTTTCAGAAACATTTCTAATAAAGCTTCCCATCGTGCACTATTTCAGGAAGTAGCGAGTTTGCAAACATCAAAGGTCAAAGGTTTCTCCCCTTGCGAAAGAAGAAATTTATCAACATGCGAAAAAGGATGTGCGAATAAAAACAGCTGGTCAAAAAATAGGATATTCCTTAGTTGGCCACGCTCCTAATTATCTTATCGTTTTAAAATGGATGAAGATGAAACAGACAGTGGCTATAACACTTCAATAAATGAACCTTTAAAGGTAAACAAAGTGTTGAATTTTCTTAGGCCCTATAGGCTAGGCCTAGAGTAGCTCCTCTTTTTTCCGTATTTCGTGTGGGAGTGGACTGTTTTGTTCGGCTGTTAGGTTACTCAGTCTCATATCCCCATGGTTCAGGCCAAACCTACGTAGGCTATTTATAGTTTCCATATTTCGATTTATGCTAAGGACGGTAAGCAAAAGAGAGAATATAATTATAAACCACTTACTAAATGATCCCGGCCCCCAACCCCACAAAAAAAAAAAAAAAACAACAACAAAAAAACAAAAAAAGAACACAGTGGATAATGTCCCTGACAGAGCCCTCATTGAGCAACCATATAGTCTATATATAATAAAGTAGATATACTACTAATTTAAAATTAAATTTACTTTAGCCTACCTTCATCAAAATTTTTCCCGGCGCAATGCTGACCCGTTGGGGCCGCCCCACTTGCTTTGCTTTACCAGCGCCAGGTTGTCCAACCTTCGAAGTTAAAAACAAAACAGAAATTATTTCACAAAATAATTCAAATAACAAGATACCGAGTTTATCCAAGACATAGGCTAGGCTAGCCCTCATTAACGCACTGATGCAGCAGTTGTTGCGCCTCATCAGACAGCCCTGAAATCCAACTCCAGTGCTGACCTAGGCCCTAGGGCCTAGGCCTAGGCTAAGAAGTGAGATGGTCAGAACTTTAAAAAAAGAGAAGTTACGATACGAAAAGAAAGGCAAAATATCATATTATACCTGCTTCTTTGTAGCACCTTTCGGTGGCATTGCTTTTGCATTTAAATACAAGCTTCACTTTCGCAAAAACAGAACGCTATCTGTCTGTTCGTTGAAAGTCAAAGCTTGGTTGGTTGCGAAGCGTTGCGATAGCGGAACTTATTTTAGCAGTCTGTTGTTAGGGTAATTGAAGGAATTTAAAACAAACCTAATAAAAAGATTATTAGTAACAATTAATTCTTTATAACTTTATTAATATACAAGATATAAAATTAAGGTTAATTATTATTGAAATGTTAAATTTGAAAGCTTTAAATAAATATTCTTATGTATCTTTCAGAAACATTTCTAATAAAGCTTCCCATCGTGCACTATTTCAGGAAGTAGCGAGTTTGCAAACATCAAAGGTCAAAGGTTTCTCCCCTTGCGAAAGAAGAAATTTATCAACATGCGAAAAAGGATGTGCGAATGAAAACAGCTGGTCAAAAAATAGGATATTCCTTAGTTGGCCACGCTCCTAATTATCTTATCGTTTTAAAATGGATGAAGATGAAACAGACAGTGGCTATAACACTTCAATAAATGAACCTTTAAAGGTAAACAAAGTGTTGAATTTTCTTAGGCCCTATAGGCTAGGCCTAGTAGAGTAGCTCCTCTTTTTTCCGTATTTCGTGTGGGAGTGGACTGTTTTGTTCGGCTGTTAGGTTACTCAGTCTCATATCCCCATGGTTCAGGCCAAACCTACGTAGGCTATTTATAGTTTCCATATTTCGATTTATGCTAAGGACGGTTAAATATAATTTGTAGGGGCACTTTCGCACCTAACTTTTAACTCTTAATTTTTTTACCTCAATGTGTTTTTCTCACTCATAATAGCGGATTAGGGTCGTAGCGACCGCGAGGGAAAGCGGCGCGCTCAAAATGTATGGAACGCCAGTAGCACTATACCGATTGATTGGGATACGGTACGGTATAGCATTGGTCAATAACGTCAATTCTAGTATGTTTCACTCAGTTTTATTTGATCAGGCAAGTGTTTCGAAATAAAGAGAAATCAATGTATAATTTTCATAATTGAATATTTTTCATTTCTTGTAGTCTTCTTGGCCCTGGTTAATTAAAGATCGATTTGTTTAAAGATTGAACATTTTTGTACGTACATGACATAGTTGAATTATGATATGATAAAATTGATATTTATTATATATTATCAGTTCGGATTTTTATGTATAATGAACTTTTATTTTATATTTCTTTCAGGACACAAACGGATTCAAACATTGGATCTGTCAATACTAAACTTACCATGTAATAATATGTGATGATCGTAAAAAACTTAGGTCTACACTTAGTGATACTGTACATTGTCATTATTATTATTAATTCATTATTATTATTATAACTGTTATTATTATTTATTATCAATCATCTTCAAATGCAATGACAAACAGATGTTCATTCACTAAAGAACAATCTGAACACAAGTTAGTAAAATTCGAATAAATAAACTAAAGAAGCGATTTAAAAAGTACCATCGATTTCTGTAAGAAAATAGGCATACTATAAATCATAATATTTGATATAATAAATAAACAAACTAACTATTAAGTCTCGATTTATATAGGCTATATATAAATTATGAAAGAAAATATACATTAATTTGATAATTGATTAAAACAGTATTAATATCGAACTCTGATGCCCATTGTCCAACATACATTTTGCATTCTGCACGCTTGGCGCTCCATGCGTATCGACTCGCGGCCGCTTTCCCTCGCGGCCGCTCTAACCACACTCCATAATAGCCGGCCTAGTCACAGCATATCATTATAAATATAAACATGTTTCAACCACTCATAAAGTACCTTTTTTTAACATAAAAATACCGTTATAAATACAGCATTTATGTACTGGCTAGCACAATGAGCTGCTGCCATTTTTGCAATCAATAATTAATTGCCAGAATGTTTTAAATACATATAGGCCTACAGTGCACAGTTTTATGTAATTAAACATTATACTGTATATGAAAACTGATTTATTTGCGTTCGTATGTCATTTATGGTAGTTTATAATATGGTATTGTTGTTTGATTATGACGTTAGATCTCATGTACAATTACTAAATAAAACAAATAGTAAATGGTCCAGGTGCATACACAGATATAAAAATGTTTAATATGGCATAATCCAGCAGAACAACTACCAGACCCAATGGATAAATAGCAGTTTGATGAAGCTTAATTACAAGAAACTGACAGGACGCTCTAAAAAAAAAAAAGATGGTAGTATAATGCCTCATTAAGATGTTTCATGGGAAAATTTTGATCCAAATTATTAGACTGCCATTCAGTAGTTTCAAAATTTATGAAAAAAAAAAACAAAACCCAGACATATTGGCAATTTATTACAAATTGCAAAATAGCAGCAGCTTGTCATTCTAGCGATTGCAGAATCGCTGTATTTATAAAGGTATTTTTTGTTGAAAAACATATTAAGGTAAAAAAATTAAGAATTGAAAGTTAGGTGCAAAAGTGCATTAGCGCCGGGAAGGTTCTTAGTGTAAGTAAAGATGTGCATTATGTTTTTAATAGGCCAACCAAACTCTTAGGCGTATTCTATGTATAATTCTATTATGTTGATAGAACAGCCAGAGGCGTTTTGTAGATACAGTAGAAGCCAAGACAAGAACAATAATCACTACATATCTAGTAAAATGTCTATTTTAGGAACTTCAATTTTACAAATAGTCAATTTTATAAATGACCTGTTTTATAAAATCGATGTCATCAATGGACAAGTACAGTATAACATCAAAAAAGCCTGATTTTTAAGTAATAGAGCATATTATTCATTAATAAAAAGGTGTGTGTTGTTTTTATATTAAAATCACAAATAGGGAAATTCCTCATTTAGATGCGATTGAAAAAAAAGACAATGTGACTATTCTTAAACTACCCTGGGCAAGCGTGCGCTACCACAAACTGTTTAAACACGCTTTTTGGTTGAATGACCCGATTCCCATACACGCCTTGTTAACTGCCCTGGACAAGTTCGCGCTCTGTAAGGTACCACAAACGAACTGATGATGATATTGCTCTCATTCTTGCCGCTGGTTGAATGACCCAATTCCCATGTGTGGCTTATTCAGCATCTCTCCTCATTTCGTTGACTATCTAATTGTGTAACAGCCAGGCAAATCGGCAGTCTACACAGCACATAAACATCGACAACGACAACATACAAAGGTACACAAATAGACACATTCTACATATCGATACCAAGACAGATGAAACTATATAATATTCTAGTTTTATATACAAATTTTTAAATTTGTAATGTACAGTTTAATGTACATGCTTTTTCTATAGGCTAGACTTGTGTAGAACCGTTTTAACTCCGCCGCAAACAAGTTTGTTGTCAAAGTCTATAGAAGAGGTGGATTCAACAAAGTTGCAGAATACATTAACAAAGAATAATTTTTTTTATATTAAAAAACAAAAAATAATTTTTAGTATTTGGACACTTTTCTGTCATCTCTACAATAAGTGTAAGAATATTTTGGTGTAAGAGTAATTCTGATTGGAGGAATGATGAATCCATCATTGCATAATAAGCTAGATATAAATAAACAGTCTTAACTTCTTTGTGAGGTTTTAAGAGTCATGCAGCTGGCTTTATTAGTATTTAGTAAGCCTACAAAATATGATGCCAGGCCTACTGTAGGCGTGTCTTAAGAACCAAAATAATGTATTTAGGCCTACTTCTGCTGACTTTTCAGTTAAAAAAAAAAAAGCCAAAAATAAATCTATCAATAGACACACGCTCCTGCTGGGAGCCAATTTTGATTATTACTAGCCTGTTTGCCGCTAGTATACTGTACGATAGTTTAAATAGCAAATAGTAAACCCTTTAAAAAATTATTTTGGATGGGAAACTAGTATTTATTTGGCCTAAAAACTTGTTGCTTTAAAAGTTGTCTAGCCCTACTGTACAGGTATCCCTGGCTGAAAAGTAGGATATAATACAGTATAAATACATTGTGTACATTCCCATTGCAAAAATTAAAGCCTAATTTGTACACTGTTTAACATGAATAATGTATCAACAATCATTACCATCAAATTATTATGTAGCTTAAATTACATGCTACATGTACTATTTCCCACCACATTTTTTGTAAGTTTCTGATATATTGTACAGTAGTTGGAAAATAGATCTTTACTGGTTACACCATTAAGCATCTAGAATGTACAGATGAGACCTTATTATTATAGACCTATAGTCAGTTGGCTAGTCACATGTCTGATATACTGTATAATATCTGACTTTCTACCTTCGGGCTAGGCTATATTAAGGTTCACAAAAGCTGCTGTTGTAATGTACAATGCGCAAGGTTGAATCCCACTCTTCGGTGAGGTTTAGTCACTATAATCCAACTCCCTGCTGAAACCAAGTCTTTGAAAAGTAAACCCTATTATACCCCTTCAAATTTCAAGAAAGTTCATGTGCTGTCAGTCATATTTTCAAAATAGCACCAAATGTAGATTTTTTTAATTTTCACCATGTTTAACAGTTATGCATTAGAGTATAGTTAAAATTTATATTATTGCTGCGAAGCAGCCAATTTATATTCTTGACAGCAATTTGACCTCTGAAAGGTCATTGTTTGTCAAAAAACGAGTGCCTAAGACAACTGAAAAACGGAGTTTCCTTCTTTCGTTCTGCCGGGTAAAATCAATTACTTTAGGCGACGTTTGTAGATTAACCTACTCGTATCAACGTCCGCATGTCGCGCTAGCCTAATATCCTACTCTAGGCCTAGCCTTGAAAGGACGAAGGTCCCAATGAAAAACAACGTCGCTCTTTGATAGCTAACATTGTCTATTTAACATCACAATAATTCATTATTAGACCTATAGTTGTTTTTTGAATTGTTTTCCACAAATCTCAGCCGATACCTCGCACAACTGGTTAACGTCTCTATCTATTGTCGTGACGTCATGGCTCGCTGGCTCACACTTGAGATATGTCTCGCACTTGTGATCAAATAACACGCTGGCTCGCACTTTGGCAACACTCTTTGGCAGTCAACTCGCCCCTAGAAAACCCGCCCTTGGAAACTTGCCCCATAAAAAAAAATACACTTCCTAGACCATGCTCTCTTCAAAATAAAAATTGGCCATACTATGTAACAATTAATTCTATGGGGCTTTTTGTTAAAGGTGAGACTTTTTTTTGTAAAAATAAAATTTTATTTTCTTATTTAGCAAATGGTTTTGCCAAAAACACCCAGAGGGAGGAGAAAATAGATATAAAATGTTATTGTTGAATGTAAACATAGTATAGTAATGGAATGGTTAAATGCTTTAAATTATAAGTAGGAAGAAATATACATCTTATTTTTCAATGCAGCGGTAGGTGTAATAAAATTAAAGAAAAACTTTTATTTTTTCTGAAATTTTCCGTGGAGGCGGATGTGCTAATTGGCCAAAAATAAAATTTTAATTTTTATCCAAAATCAATATTGGTGGGCGGCTGGTTCGCAAAACAAGGAATAAAAAATGTTTCGCCTATTATTGTAGAACACAAAAGTTTGTAGCACTGTATAGTACATCCACACTTATTTGGCAGTCTACAGTAATAGTAGAGTTTCAGCTTATAGTAAGGTTCATACACTCTTGTACACGGTGACTTGTGCTGTACTCTACAGCACATAATGCTATGCATTTATTTGTAGCGTCTATTCTGTTTAATTTATGATTTCTCTTTCCAGTTCAGATCTGTTTCCATTTCATATTTGATAATAAATTGTAGTTATCTGCAATACTTGAATTGCTTTTTCTATTTGCAGATGGAGAATTCCAATGGAACAGCCAATGGTAGTGACGCAACATCTGATTCTTTGAAAGGAGTTCGTCGGCCAACGTCTTTACAAATGAAATTAGGTAAGTACATTTAATACCAGTAATTGAATTTTCATGATTTGGCATCAATTTTTAAAGGAATTACTATTTATTATCCTTTTATTATTTTCTATCAACTTTTCTCAGGTGTATCACAACAAGTACATTTATAAACAGTGGTTGGTAATTGCTGAAGCTAAGTTATTGCCATTAGACTTTCAGTTTAAGCAAGGACTTATTGTAACAAAGTCCTTGGTTCAAGTTACAGATTAAATGTCAATTGAAAACAATCCAATTTAGAATTCCTTTCGATCTTGATGTTATCTGACTTTGATTTATTCAAGTTTAATAACAAGTATTTCATATCAAATTGACATAAAAATAATTTGACATTGACAAATTTTTGACTAAATGCAGTCAGCTTGGTAAAGTTCACAGACTTCTATCAATTACTTTGACTTGATTACCAGCTACAGTAATCTAAAGTACGTACAATATGCAATTAATATAGGAAATAGTTAGATTTGGCAAGAAAAGCTCATTTTCATTTTTCAATTGAAAGCTAAAATTTTCCTTTAGACATATAAATATGCAATTCATATTGAATTTTAATTTAAAGATTTTTAACTTAACATATATACTAATTAATATATCTTCATTAAATATATAATATATATTTATATAATATAAAATATATTTTTGTACAGTAATTTTTAAAACTCAAAATCAGTATTCAGCATGTCAGTTTGACTGATACATAAATTGTGTGGTAGAGTTTTGATAATGACTTAATTATTCTATAGCAACTTGACGCTTAGCTGCTGCGACGACCTTAATGGCTATTGATCCCTAGTCTAGAATCCAATAATGGTTTACCCAAACTTTACAGGTGCTTAGTAGGGTAGTAGGTAAAGCGCCACAGATTCAGCTGTGTAGCATAAGACTGGCACTCTCAATCATCGTCAGCCAATCGACTATAATCGACAACCTTTATATTCAGTATCGTCCGTACTCTTGGTGAGAGTGGATATTCACCGTTGAGCAAGAATTATCAAGACCATCCAGGAGAAATTAATTACGTTACATCTTTGCTCAACACTTTACGACCAAGTGAAATCAGCTAGGCTGACTGTGAAGACCGGAAGGTGTACATATTATTGCTTCATGTGTGGTCTTTATTTTTTTTTTTTGAGACATGTTTGTTGTGACACAAAACGTGATGGAAATAGAATCTGGTGAAATAGAAATATTTTGTATTGAGAAAGGTAAGGTAGGAGACATAATGAGAAATGTAGGTAGATGTTCATTAAGCACACTATGTATTCATGAAGTATTGATTTCAAAGGCTCTCAAATTGCATACTAATCTCAGATTTTTCCGCTTTACTATATTAATAATTTGTATATTTTTATTCATTATCTTGATGAGTTTTCTAAAAATACTGGTCTCTCTAAAGCACCTCATTCATTATTGTGTTGTTTTTGTGTTTTGTATTGGTAAATATTATATTAGATATTTAAGCCTGTTTTAATTTAGACTTTATTAAAGATATACTATCTTTGAGCTAATTTGAAAAAAAAAAACCTAAAAAAAAATGAATTTAAAACATTGCTTACTCTTAAAATGATCAAGTAAATTGTTAGCATCAAGAGAGACAGATAAAAAGAAATCAAGGGTCAGATAGGAAAATCCACAAATTGATTAGCAGTAATATCAGAATAAGCAAATGGCAAGGCAACAATTTCTTGTTTAATTTAAAAGATATTAACTATTGAATTTAAAATCTCTTTAGCTTAAAAGAGAAAGTATACTTTAATATTTAGAAGAGAATATTTTACGGTTATAGCCATGGGTAAATCAATTTGCCATTTGAGCTCAAATCCTCAAGGATTGGTTCAAACATTTTGTGTACTTGCTATGTCCATAGGAAAACAATTTACTCTTCAACCAGGAGTACAAGTGGGTTCCTAGTTACTTGAAGGTTCAAATTCCAATGTGCTGATTATGAGCTGCAACAGTAGCTTATGGAATTCTCTGAATATGTGTTTTATAGATGAATGATCCACTGACCTAGATAATAATAATGTGAAACACAGATGACTTGCCTGTTGTCCCACATTACTGTGCCTTTGATCACTTTTGATTTGGCACACTATAATATTCTTAATCATTATTGCTATTTAAAGACTGCCATTTTATTGACATTATTTTGTAGTTGCTAATTTTCATTGCTTTTTATTATTGGTATTTTTGGCCTGACTTTATTCAGTATACATCATAACAATAAATAGCAAATATACCTGTAACAATAATTTTCTTATAAGTTAAAACATACTTTAATATACAGTAGGTAAAAAAGATTAAATTAAACTATATAAAATGCGATGTTGTAAACCATGGTATACTAGGATAGCCCATGAAAGTTGTATAAGAACGACTAGTATTTCCAATGGAGCCCTTGAGAAAAAAAACAAAGCAAAAGTAAAAAAATTTGAATTATTGTAAATTGTAATTAAAATTGTCGGTAATTGTTACTTTAATATGCTAGGATTTAGTATCGTTAATTTGAAATCTGAGAATTGATTACCATAGCTGAGATTATAGAATGAGATATATTCTAATATTATTTCATAATTTCATGGTAAAGTATACCATTCAACAATAACATCTTATATGTGATTGCATCATAGCCAATGACAAGTTAAAGCACTTCAATGTTTATAATTTCATTATATAAGATGAATGTATGATCAAAATGCAGTATATCATGCCATCTAGTGATAGGAGTACTTGCAATTCATACATTTTTTTTTTTTTTTTTATGTTTACCTTAAAATAAACAATATGATAATTTTTGTTCTCAGAAAAACAAAGAGAGGCGGATAGAAAATCACAAAGGAATAGTCGTGAATATGCATTAATAGACCAACAACCAAGGAAAACTCCAGCATTAGTATCTAGGGATCGGCTAGCAGTGCCCTGGAAGAACTCATCACATGAAGCCAGTAGCCAGCCATTAGTGACTATAGATAGTGAAAGGTAAGATAATCTGTTAATCCGATAGTCGCTACTAAGTAGATACTGAATTGAATTTTGATCGTAATTTATCTGTGAAGAGATGAAGGGTTGTCCGACCACAGATATATTTAGTGTCTAGTTTTTTTTTGCCTTATGTGCAAAACAGTATTTGCCATTTTCCTTCCTTTGAAAATAATGGAACCATGTGAACTGCATATAGAAAATTGTAACCACACATATGTGACTGGCTCTGGCAGAACTCGCCCTTTGTCACAATTTCTGATTTTGCACAAAAGCACCTAAAGAGTTCAAGAATCAGAATTTTGAATGTTTTCAGGTTTTTGCATTTTATAAACTAAGATGTATTGAAGAACATTTTCACAAAACATCAATCACTAAATCTTACCGAAAATATATTAGAATTTAAACAAAAATACAAATTTTAATAATACATACTTGGCTGATATCCAATGAATTATATATTCATAACTTTGCTAAATACTCTACCAATTTCCATTCAATAAACACTGTTTTAAAAAAGAATTCATCCAGAATCTACAAATACCAAAAACTTGATTTTTAATTTTTTTTTTTTCAAATGGCTGGTTTTGCCGGTCACATATATAAAATCAAAATTCGAAAATACAGAGCCATCCACAACTTGCAACTTCATCCGTCCCTCAGGGATATTCCTAATCTTGCAGTTTGGTATGTTCGGAGACAAATACATTCTGTAGAACGAATCAGGTATGCTTTTACAGATCAATCGGCACAAAGTAAAGTGTCTTGCGTCCAAGGACACACGCTGACCAACATTGGACTTGAACTTTCAATCCTTCGATTGAAATCACAAAGGTTTTTCTCTGTGCTACAGGCTTTGAATATTAATCATTTTTATAGTTCACATAAAAAAAAATGTACTGTACAGTGAAAAATTATTTGTCATATTTATTAATATGAATGGATTAAATATAGATAATTAAAGGCTATCATAATTCAATTCAATTTGTTTTATTGTTAAGTGCCATCTTGGCCAATATCCTCATAAAAACTATGCATCATGGTGTAGGGACGTTGCTCCACTAATAGTCGAATGATCCACATACCCCACCCTAAACGAACTCTGCATTGTAAGGTAGGGGAATTACTCCTCTAAGGTCCTAATAACCCACATACAGTACCCCCCAACCCTAAATGAACTATACATCCTAGAGTAGGTAGTGTTAATATCATAATAGTTTTTGTAGCTCTCTTTCATTGGTGTTTTGGATTGAACTGTCTTAATATTAGAATCTGTAAAAAATCCAATTAACATGTTTACATGTCAAAACAATCAAATTCTTTCAATCATTTTAAAAAACTATATCCCAATTCTGTTTAATACTGACTTACAGTGATGCAAATACTGTATTTATATTGGTACAGCCAAAATATACCAGTAAGTAGGTGTGTCTGTTTATTAGTGAGAAATATACTATATATTTTTTGCATGTTATAATTTTTTTAAATACTGTAGAAAGCTACAAATTTGAATCAAATTGAAATAATTTTGTTTTCAGTTATATATTCCTCAACACAGACATATCTGTACTAGTACAGCTATATCGTGGTAGTGACAAAAATATATTTTGCTCTACGATAACAAAGAATGAGTTGATAGCTAATTACTGACTATTAACTGTTTCAATCTAATTTTCCCCCTCACCTATGTTCTCAGTGTACAGTAGCTTCAATAGTGTTATTTCAAAATCATGCCTACCGACATTATCCGATGATGCGTACTGTAATCATAATTAGAAATAATGCATACAATGGCCTTTTTACACCTTGAACACTAGAGGTCTGTGATATTTTGGTTTTGTTGTTTTCGCATGGGTTATTTGGAGACACTAGTTCTGTGATTATACAACTTGTATCAATAGGTGTTGTGAAAAAGCCTTGTAAATTGTATATTTAGATTTGTTTTTAATAGTTTAAAACAATTTGTTTTTTGGATAATATGAATATTTTAATGATTACTTTAGTTTATAATATTAGTTTGATGTCAGGTAATACTTTAGGATTTACCTCAAACATGTGTGTTTAATAAAGATGATATACTGTATAATACACAGCATTCATAAGTTTCTTAATATTTAATTTGATCAGTACTATTAACATACAATTACATTCATCATCATCATCAAGCCTGTCAGGCCATTGCTGGCCGATGGCCTCCTCAAACTCCATTATTTATTCTTTGCCAGATTTTCCCAATTAATGTCACGCTCTTTCTGTTAAAAATCATTCCATCTCATGTTTGCCCTCCCATTTTTTGTCTTTTATTTCATTAAATTTAATAAGCAAAATAGAATGTACATAATTGGATATATTATTAATCATGATTAATTTAATTTTTTTTTAATTGAATAAAAAAATTATTAGTTAGACCTGTACTGGAGATAGGTAATTTAAAGTGTGCAATAAAATTTAGCTAAAAAACATTAAGCACCAAATTATAATAAATAATAAATTACCAATTATATACTGTACAAGATACATAATAATATATTTTTATTTGTCAAGACAGGTGGGATTGACTCCTAATATTTGATAGCTTCTTGTTCTAATTATATCCTGTATTTTTATAGTACAACAGGTGCATTTATTCACAAAAGGATATTAATGTCTTTCAAATTCTTTGAATCTGAGAATTGTAAATTATAAGCAATTACGATACTGAGTTTGATAAGGACTTGAATTTGTTTCTGTAGATTAAATGTAAATGACTTCAGTTCAAAATTGAAAATAATTAGTTGAATTTAAGACTTCAGTGTTTTGTTTGAAATATTATTGCAATGTTAAACCAGATTACAGTAATTGTTACCAACTTCACAATTGAAAATAATTAGTTGAATTTATATGACAATTATACTTTAATTCAGAAATTTTGTTTCAATGTTTCATTAGAATAAATTTACAGTTTCATAGATGGTTGGCAAAAGCTTGTGGAAAATTGAAGCTATCTTTGCCTTTTTTATGTTCTGCTGTTTCTGTTTTTTTTATGATCCTTTAGTGTGTTTTCCTTTGGTATACATTCATATATATTTTTTAATGCACATTTTTCCAGTTTGCAATCTGTCAGTTTTTGATTTAAAAAAAAAAGATCTAATACTGTAATAAAATAACAGATTATAAACACTATAAGTGTATAAGCTTTTAGAAAATCTAGATAAAAAATGCACCTGGTTGAGATGTTATTGAAATAAACTTTGCAGTAAACAACTTAAAATGTTTGTTTAACTTCAGTTGCCAATTTGTGTTTCAATTTCATACTGTTAATTTCCTGAAGGACAAATGAAAGAAACTATTACTCCATTAGCTATGAAATGAATGGATTCTTGAGTGGTTGGAACATTAATTTTATCACTGGAACCACAAGATTTTCCATGTAGGCCTACTGTATGTGATGTCACATGTATAGTGGAAGAATATTAATGGATTGGAATATTGGAATGAATAGATGGATGAATGAATGAATGGCGTAAAATAAATAAACATACACAAATGTATATTAATGAATATTTGTATTTGTACTACAGTATGAATAAATGTATGTATGTGAAGTCATGTCTTATAGGTTTCTCAACCCATAAGGTCGGGGTTTAATTCCCATTCCAACCACTTGCTTGTGTGCTTAGCAAACCATGTTTAACTTTTCCTGACCCCAGGTGTAATGTCTACTGTACTGGTGGGTTTGAATGCCAATCTGCAGTTAGCTGTAACTTAACCTTACCCCCTCCCCCCACCCCAAACTTGGCCCAATTTCATGTTGGTGGTTGGCTTATAACCGGGGAAGTATGGTAATTAAATAAAAATTTATAAATAATAAATACAATTCATACAATTATAAAATTTATATATAATTTAATGTACAGTTTGCGGTTGGTCTTGCTACTGTAGTTATAAAGCTGCATTTGCACCTTTCTTTGGCATAGAAGAGGGATGCTGTACCATCAGCACATTGTATTCCATTTACATCTGAGACACCAACAAGTATTGGCATGGGAATAGTAGATCGCAGAATGCCTAATAACCACTGAACATTTACCATGATGATTGGCAGGCGAATGTACTCTTATGATAAATTGCTATGAAAATCCATCCTTGAAAACCTTGTTGATAAAATTACCTCATTGATGAATGCTACGAGCTATGCTATAATACTTAACTGAATCTTACACTCTTGCTCAAGAAGGATGAGCCCCAGCTCTTAACGGACTTGTGATGAACGTTGCATGCATAAGTTGACTTGACTAACGTAATCAAAATAATGAAATTGATATTCCTTTTAGTCTTATTGAGGAGGCCCTTCATTCTCTTTCAAGTGCTTTTCCTTATCTGTCTTCATTCATCACTCTTGATTCAATATCTGAATAACAGGTTTTTATTTATTATTTAATTTTTTGAGAAACATACAAATTTAAATTAATAAAAGCTAAACAAAAAAGAATAAACTTTTAAGGTTTCATCTTACAGAATGTTCGAATCTTAGGATCAAACTGAACTCCTTTTATTATTTAATGGTAAAGTATTGCTCGTAGCAGTGCTCAGATCAATACTATATCATGGTACAATTGAAGACTTTGGGCTGGAAATTTTGATTGGAAAAAGATATTTTCATAAATTTTCATCTCTTATAATATTATGCTTGGCTTGGATACTAACAGTTCTATATTTACCAATGTTGCGGTTATAATGAAACTGTAGTGTAGTTCTCCCATTAATATTACTGTATGGTATTATCATTATTTTTATGTCCTATTAATTTTAAATTGGTATGAGTATTTATGATGCTATGTACTGGAAAACATGAAAAGGCGATGTCAATTTTACTACTGTAAATTTAAAAGACAAAAAGTGTTAGGCAAACAAATACAAGGATGAAAAATATAAAACTATAACACTCCCCTCCACTGACAGTGAGAAATTGCTCATGAACCATTATCTTTTATGCGAGGCATTATTGATGATGTCAATTGAATAATATTTTTATATTTTATTACAATTATGTTTTATTATATTAAACTATTATTATTATTATTATTATTATTATTGTTATTGTTATTATTATTATTATTGTTGTTGATAGTAATTGTTATTGTCGTGATGGAATAGACAATAACTGAATTTACGTCAGAAGAAACATGTATAGGTGTAATTTTGCCCTACCTGCCCGACGTGGAAATGTACTGAATACTCAGCACGTTTGAAAACAATCGCAAGTTGTTCTCGGGTGGGACTCGAACCCACGATCCCCAGATCATTATCCCGGCATGGTCTCTAGACCACCCAGCTTGCGCCTGATGGCCAGGGTTGAATTCGAGTCCAAGAAAGCAGCAGGTACTGCAGTGTTGATAGTAATTGTTATTGTCGTGATGGAATAGACAATAACTGGATTTGCGTCAGACGCAAGCTCCATCCAAAAACAAGTTGAGATTTTTTTTCGCAATTGTTTTCAAACTTGAGTATTCAGCACATTTCCACGTCAGGTAGGGCAAAATTACACCTATGCATTATTATTGTTATTATTATTATTATTATTATTATTATTATTATTATTATTATTAATATTATAATTATTATTAGTTTGATTGTTATTAAATTACATCAAGTTGATTTAGTAATTTCACCATCTCAACCTCGATGCTGTTCAAGAAGGCCTACATTTGGCCAAGTGTTACAGTATTACATTGCAGATACTGATGAGTACATTCTAAAAATAAATTGTAGTTTAATTTACCATAAATTAATGTCAGGAACATTGTCTCTCTCATGAAGCAATTGTTTTAAAGTGTCTTTATGTAAAAAAAAGTCAGTTGTCTATGCTCTGTAGAGTAGAATTTCAGCAATGTTACATCTGTCTAGTCTTTAATAAGATTAAATGCCCTTTCTGATTGTATGAAATGGAACAGATTAGAATCAATATTATTAAATTAATATTCATCTTGGACGATTCTTGACACCTGGGTTTATTTATCTTGCAGCGAAGATGAGTTTGATATCGTCACGCTAACTTCAACACCCTCACAGGTAAGAGGAAGAATTTGTTCATTATTGCTTCTTCAGTTACGTTAACACTCAGCTTTGGTTTGGTATTAGTGCAGATGTCACATGCTTCTATGTCTATGTATGTTATCAATAATTTCACAGGTATACAAAGGAAGAGTTTTACACTTCTCCCTCCTCTCTTTCCACACACATTTTTCAAGGCTTTAACTTCACTGCCTAAGCCTCAAATAGGGGTGTTGTGAGCTCCTACTACTTGAAATTTTAAAATTACTTTTAATCATTTTATTACGTATGTTTTTAATTCTTATTTTTACTATTATGCAGTAGCTTATTTGATTGTACTGTACTCTACCTGGAAGTTACTGTAAATGCAATATTTTAAATTTTAATAATTAAAAAGTCATCCAAACAGTTCTTTTTAAATTCATTTAGTAAATAATTTAGTGATTCAGTTTTGTAAAAATAAAATGTTTAAAAATAATTTCATTTTCACTCCGTGGTGTAATAATAATATTAAATCTTATAAAAACATTAAAAATATGTGTAACTATTGTACTGTACAGTATGTACAGTTCTATATGTACTGTAGCTTGATATTTCTGGCTAATTATTCTGTTAAAAAATATCAATAACAATTGTAAATTATGCAAAATTGCTTAATATTATTCAATTAGAAATGTCATGTTGTTTAGAGTATTTTTATTCTTTTACTACCCTACACTATTTTCAAAATCAATTAAACAAACAAAACAACACAACTAGGGATTAAATTATAAGTAGAATTATTTTAATACTTTTGTAAATTTCATTTATAATATTTTATTTTATCTGTTTGCATTGCAATCTGTTATACTGTACTACTGTACTATTCAATTCATATATTACTGAAAATAATATTAATTTAGTTATAATTTTCATTGTTTATTTTATTACTGTACCTCCATCAAGGAGGCTTTGTATTCACTGCTGTCCGTCTGTCTGTCTGTTCAAGATTATGCAAAAGCTAAGGAATTGATCATCATAACATTTAGTGTAATGGTACATAATAAGAAAGAGGTGATTACATTTGGGAAAGTAAAGGTCAAAGGACAAGCTCAGTGTCACAGAAATTTGATTTTTATCCTTGAGCATAAAAAAAAAATAATTGAATCGCCCGTACATTCTCTGTGTATTGTTTGGTATTCATGCACAGGGCAGAGGTATACACTCTATGGAGTGAATGTAGTTTTATGTAATTATATTTTTATTCCATATTTGTGGGTGATCCAACTGGAAAATCTGACCCAGCGAAATGGAGTTGTTTTTAGATGTGAGAAAAATCTTTGAGTTTTGGAGGATTGAACTATAGACTTTTTGATTAGAAGGCAGGCATCCCATTACAATTATCACTACTTTATTTCATTGTTTGCTTTGCCCTATATAACTTTGTGAATGTAATGCAAATTTGTTTCCTGTACTATGGATGTTTTCATAACATTTACAATTGTTTTACAAACAGAAAACAGATTAGTGGTAATATATACAATAGTACACAGCCATTATTTTTATATGATTGAATATATATTGAAGTACTGTATCATAAACAAAATACACGTGTAGCATTTGCTCTGAGCAATTATTTAATAAATGGAGCAAGTTCTGTTTCATTAGTATTATTTACCTAACCCGTACTGTATCTGTATCTGTGTCAGTGTTTACGAACGGATGATGACAGTGTTAGGTGATGGGGCGTGAGTTGCTTCACAACCTAACGTTAATCCTTGTGCTGTACCATGGTCACATATGAGCAATCATTTGTGCGACAAAATCTTGTCCCATGCGTAAATTTGCGTCTTGATTGTAATTATAGTGGTCATGTCTATCTTTTTCCTTTACGTTTAGCATCAACTATCGTCTCCCAATGGACGTATTGTTTCACAGCAAGTTTGCTCCAAGGTGACTCCTACGTAGTGTAGTTAACTGTTGGCTTGCTTTTTGACATATATCCTAGTAACTGGTGAAAAATGAATGATGTGATATCGTTAATATAATACAGGTTGTTGTGAAAAAGGCAATGCAATTGCTAATTTAACACATAACAAAATCCTTTTAGTTTGCTTGAATTTTGTTATTCAGTCATTATTTATTTGTGTTGATTGTCTTCAATAATCATAATTGTTGAATGAATATTAAATTATTTAATCATAATATATCTTGGAGATTTATTTGCACTAGATTCTTAATTCCTGTTTCCATTTTTTGTCTTTGTTTATGTTATTTACTTGAATGTTTTCCCTTGAAAATACGTTTATTTTTAACACGTTCACTGCCATGCCTTATGAAGAAGTTTCTTAGCAAGTTTTAAGTTGCAACCAAATATTATGTTGCCTTGTGATTTAATTTGCTAATATAATAAGTTTTACCTTATCTTAAATAATATTTTAAAATTATTATATTCTTTCTAAGTTAGCGCTGGTTTATTTGTGCAGTTATTTCAGCAACACCAGTATCAAAATATAAAGTGAAAGAATAGCATATACAGTAGTCGTCTCTGGCCTATACAGTATGCAAGACAAGAGAGGATGGCATTGAACATGTTAATCTACAGTATTGTTTAGGTTTTTGTATCTGAGACTGACCTTTTGCTTAACTGCAAAGGGCAAGCATTATACGTATTAACATCGTAACTAAACTAGAATAGAAAAAAAGAAACATTAAAAACAGTAGTTTACAGGTAAATTATTTATTCAATGCATTGCAGTGCTTTACTTAACATTCAACACATTTTTACAATAGAAAGCAAAACTAATGCCCTGTGATATGCTAAAAATACTTTAGTTTCAACTGCTTTTCCATCTGCTTTAACCCTCGTCACACTAACTTCTATGCGTGTATTTCTACAGGCTAAGAAAAGGGTTTCTAGGATCGATTCCTTAATAACAATTTTCTATGGCAGTAGAAATGTAGCACTTCCAAACATTCAAATTCAATTATCATGCCAAAAATCCGAATTAAATAACTCTGTAGGCCTACTGTGAACTTTTTCCAATGAGGTGATTGTGTAATCCAAGTTACCACTGTAGGGGGGAACATTACACTGCTCAACTGGGATAATAAGTTGCATAATATACAGTACTTGACTTTTTATTTTGTTTACTATTAATAAAAAGGAAACAAATTTAGCTGTCTACATATATCGGGTACAGGTAGGGTTGTTCGTCTTCATGAAAGGCCAGCATACACTGCTTTTCATGTTTGATAATTGTATACTAGTAGTATTATTACAAGTGAATAGAAATTATATAAAAATATGCAAAAAAAAATATATCAAGGACACTATTTTTTCATTAAATTTTAATATAAAGTCTCAGTAAAATCTTAATCTAAATCTGTAGCTCAACTTGGCCACAAATACTTGATACTCAAGCCCACAATGTATTAATGAACATCTAATACATTGTGAATCATTTTATATTTATAATAATAATGTAAGCTACATAAATCTAAAAATAGAATATGGTTGATATAGATTTTTAAATTAAAATGTATACATTGATCAATAAAATGCTTTTTCCAGGCATCAAAGTACTCAGTAGACGGATTCCGTGGCTTAAGTAGTGTGATTATTACCAAGTTTAGATGTAAACATTCAAGTAAAACCATGGCGTTAATTTGCAATTTTGTTAATGCAAACCTTATCAGAATAGTTTTAACTTTGACATACAGTACTGCAAAATATTGAAGATTGGATCTTCTTAGAATTGGGGAAAACCACTAATCTTGAAATTTTGTTAAGTTCTAACATACCTATTAATATACATGTATGAATGGTTTGCAAACTCTATAGGTAGGATGTAGAGCTGCATGTACCAGATTTCAGTGTCAATATATGTTAACGTAGATCCGATATAAAATTTCAATTTTAAAGTTTAACACAGAAACCATATCTTTAATAATGACTACAGTATAAATAATTGTGTAATTAGCAATGCTAATTACAGTATATAGATGCACAGGCTTGTTTTAATGCAAAATATTTCATCAGTTGCTACTAATGGGAATACCCTTTACCTCATCAAAAACGCTAATGTGAACAGGTGATGCATATTTCTACACTAGTAGTCAAGAAATGTACTACGAATTGTATTTGTACTGTAGGTTTGTCATTGCTTGCAGAATCATCATCATTATCATCATCATCATTATTATTTTTATCGTTATCAACACCATTGTCATCATCGTCATCATCATCATAATTATTTTCATCAATATCATCACCATTGTCATCATCATCATTGTCGTCGTCGGCGGCAGCATCATCATTTTCATCATTATAATGAATTATTCATCATTATTATCTTCATCATTGTACTCATCTTTATTCATTTTCATCATCATCATCATCATTATCATCATTTTTGTCATTCTCATTACCATTATTCTTCTTCATCTTTCTCGTAATCATCATTTTCATCATCATCATTATTGTCATCTTCATCATCATCATCATTAATATGGTTGTTTTTAGTAATCTGATTCACACAATATTAGACAGTCATTCAATAATTTAACATCTGAAATTCTAAAAAAAAGATCAATATAAGTTATAAACTGAGACAGAAACACGAATGTAATACAGATTTCTACAAATTAACAGATTTAAAGTCACTGTATTGATTACAAGCACTAATATTATGGAGCTCTGCGAAAATAATTAGAATGTTATTTGTATCTTTCTGTCTGCATCTAAATGAGAATTTGTTAATACAATTACAGTATGAACCCTTCCTATAGGGGACATCCTTATTAGGGGACACTTTTTTTGGCCTTGAGATGATGGAAATGTATCTTTTATCACTACAGACAAACCCTATTCAGAGGACACCCCTATTAAGGAGATACTTTTTTGGCCATGAAATGAGGGAAATGTATATTCTAGCACTACTGTCCTCTTAAGGGCACATCCCTATTGAGGGGAATTTTTTTTGGCCATTAAATGAGGTTCTACTGTACTGTATTAGTTGCATCAAACACAAAGCCCATATAACATTCTATACTTGAGCAACACAACCATTTTTGCCTAATAGTAATATTGTATACAGCAATTCAAATGTTGAATTCAATTTTCAAGTTTATTAGCCTAACTAGCTCAACTGAACTAATATATCTTTAACATTTACTGTAGAAGTATGTTTTCATTATATTGTGTATGTGTCTAACCAATAGAAATGTTTGATTTTTTTTTTATGTCTGTGGAAAAGTCAATAATTTGTTACTAGATATCACATTCAGTAATCATTTCACATAATTGAATCCAGTTGTTAGTACTGTAATAGAAAATTGTGTGAAACAATATTTTCTATATTGTTTTAAATTTTATTTGTAAACTATGATTGAATTGCTGGTTGCTTTCAACATGTATCATACAGGTAATGTATAACAATATACCAGTGATGCAGAATTATTAAAAAATATTTTTTTAATACAGTTACTGTTACTGGGCATTTATAATGCGCTTTTCCCTCTAGTAGTTTTAACTGTGCATGTCTATGTCAAAGGTCAATGCAAATAAACAGACCAATGTTGTTCATGTGATCTTATCCCTAACTGTGAAATGTCTATTTAAAGATGTACTATCAGTCAAAAAGACAGGAAAATACCTTAAAAAAAAAAAGATCAAATAAATGATTAGCTTCTAATGAGAAACAGTTAAAAAAAATGTAGTTTCTAATTTACAGACATTTTACTAAAACAAATTCTTAAATTGATTACCAACCAATTGAAGGATGCAAAACAATACAGGAACGTTATTATTTTGCTGTCTGAAAATTAATACTGTCTCTTTAGAAAAATACTTGTCTCTTTAAAAACTTTACTTCACCTGTTTGCTTATTAGCACAGTATACTGTAAGACCTTGCCTGCCTAAGTCCTCTCTCAGTTTCTAATGTGTCGTTGATATGGCAAAATATTCAACATTTATTCTTGTGGATTTCTATATCACTTTTTAGGTCATCGTAATACGCTTTGTCCGAAAATTGACGGGATTTTTTAAAAATTCAAATTTTTTATTTTAAATTAATAACTTGCTTCAATATACAAATGAAGCAATTCAAATGTGGAATTAAAATTTTCAATTTTTTACTTCATGACTAATAGTACAGTACATATCTAACTACTAAACTCATTTATTCTAGGTGCTTCATTCACATTCATGCTCTATACTACAGCCTATGAAGTGGAGTGGTTGTTAGTCATATAAAAAAAATGATGGTGTCTCAACCCATGACCCTTGGATTGAAAGGCATCTCAACACCTAAAGCTTGGTTTCCATACAGTCGCTACAGCGTTTCCACTGCATTCCGTGCACTGCGTAGCTCTCCCAGGCACAATTGGGAACGCTCCTGATTCAACTGACTGATTAGCGTCGACAAAGGAGTCGCCGATAGCATGTAGCAATTTTATGGCAACCAGGCTCTAGCTGCACTATAGCGTCTCTCCGATCTTTTCAAACATTGTACTTCCTTTTCTTATCTTTTTTTTTCTTATTTAACTTTATTTAATTACAAGCAGGTATTTCCTAATAAAATGATGTCATTTCATTTCAATGTTTTATTTCAAAATCATACAAAATAAAGTAAATTAAAATAGAATAACATTTTACTATAAAAAGTTTAAGCAAAATAGGAAAATGAAAAATACAAATCCCTTAAAGCATGCTCTCCTTAAAATCGAGTAACCAAATTTGCAGTAGATGATTAAAAGGAATAAATGATGTCCCATTCTGCAATCACCCTCATGTCATTCTTCTCTATGTTTCTCTATCAAAATAACACCCATTACTTATATTTTACCTTCACAAATTTTATGAGCCTTTTAGTCCTTGTATTGTCCTTTTAATTAATTTTTCTTATTATTCATTTTGTTGTTTATAGCATAATGTTGGGAGAGTACTTGAATTATACTAATTATAGGGCCTCTTCTAGACTTATCTACTATCTCAAATTTATAGATTGAATAATCAACAGATAATTTTAAATATTGGTTGCAGTAATTGATATATGCCTTGACCATGTCATTCTTCTCTATGTTTTTCTATCAAAATAACACCCATTACTTATACTTTACCTTCACAAAATGTATGACCCTTTAGTCCTTGTATTGTCCTTTTAATTTGTTTTTCTTATTCATTTTGTTGTTTATAGCATAATATTGGGAGTTTTAGTACTTGAATTATATTAATTATAGGGCCTCTTCCAGACTTATCTACTATCTCAAATTTATAGATTGAATAATCAACAGATAATTTTAAATATTGGTTGCAGTAATTGATATATGCCTTGACCTCTGACATACTGTTATTAATGTACAGTTGAAACTAGAAAAAGGTTTATTGCATTTTTAATCTCTTGTTTTCTGCTTCAAGAACATGAATCCAATCAATTATACATGATAATTTATTTTTTTTCACTGCAGATTAATAGAGATTTAACACAACAACTTCTGAAAGATGGATACAGATTGGATGAGGTACCCGATGATGCAGATTTGGACTTGATTCCGCCCAAGCCTGTGCATGATAGATGCGTTTGCTGCCAAAATTATGATTTTAATGGAAGCTATGCCTGTGTAATCCAATGATAGGAATAAAAAAATTCCCCCTCCCCCTTCCCAATTGCAATATATCTGTATTATAACATATCGTATTCCAATACTGGATTCTGTCTGAATGGTTTTGTTCAACCCGTTGAGACCGTTAAGAATTAATGTTCATGTCAATTATCACAGTTACGTGCAGTATGCACTTAAACAAAGAGTAATCATGACATTATGCAAAATATGAAGTCATGACTTCATGCAATGAATTTTTCAAAAATGAGTTCTCTGACTGTATAAAATAAGCGCGTTGACAACTTTCAAGTAGACATATCAACTATAATTGTTAATATGGTATAGCATTGCATGATTGAAGTGCTGGCCCAGAGCTAGTAATTATAGGCAGTTTCCTACAATTAGTAGCTGGTGGTCTAGTAATATATCAACAATCTAATACCTGTAGTAATATTGAATTATGAAATTAATTGAAATGGAAGTGGATTAATAGGCGCTACTAATTTTTTTTCATTTTCAAAATTTAGGACAATTGCTGATTCAAGATACAAGTCCTTTACAGTAAAAGTGATTTTTTTTACTCTAAATTACAAGAATGCGTATATGTATGTATTATAATACTATATTGTTATACTGTACAAATGTAGATATGTCTTACTGATTATGTGAGACCTTCTCACCCAAAATAATATGTGGTGTATATGATGTTAAGACCGGTAATCTTAGATTTATTTTCAGTCATTTCGTAAACATTTTAAATTGAAAGCTGAATTTAGGCTTTCAAGAGTTGATAGTGATAGAGACCTACAATATCTTGAGCTTTTTCCACACTGACAAATACCTGTGATTTGTCCATATATGGCAATAATATGACATCATCACGACCAAATATGATCAAATCGCACAATTTCTCAGAGCCTATCCATAATGTAGCTGACTTTTTTGTGAGCTGCAAGCACTCTTGTCCTAGGTCCACTAGGCCTACATTATGTGTTCTGGGCACTTGAATTAGATTGTAGAACAATTTGTTAACCCCAGAGATTTCCCCTTGTTATTGCCTACTGGTTGTGAAATTGAGAGTGGTTAAAATCAGTCTGGAATAACTATGATTAATATTCATGATTAGTAATATAGTACCCTAGTATTCCATATTCCAAATCAATGAGGTGCAAGTAGATAACAATATTTTAAAAATTATTAATTATACATTCCTTTTTTTAGTGCAAATGTAGAGAAGTAGTTTAGTATATTTATAAATTGAAAAGTCTATTGTTTATTTAAGAGAGGAGTTTATTAAATTGCATAAATGTTGGTGATAGACTATGTGCTACAGCGTTCTGGTACCAATACATTGTAATTTAAACAGCCCTAGAGAGTATTTCACACCCGCGATTAGCATGTGATAATTCGTATAGAGCCATGATGACATAGGCCTGGAATAGTAGCACATTTAACAGGTAATTTGATTGATGAGTATAGTTGAGGAAACTTCCGGATGCCATTGAACTTTCCGTAGGAAATATGTTAAACACAGAGCTCTAACAAGAATGATTGGCACCGGCACAGTTCTTAAGTGTTATTAGAACCGTTGCCAATCTATCAAATAGTATTACCAGTCTGTAACTTTATCCGTCATGAATGTTATGGCGTGTGATGAGAAATGACTGAGACCCGGGAGCTATCTGCCTTCAAGTTGTTAAGTATCATTTGTATTTTGACGGAAATGTGTAACAGAAATATAGCCAGGCCTTTGCTAGTTGTTATATAAAAAAAACAAAATTAATTATTTTAAAGCTTTAGTAAGTATGTTTCATCCTCCAATATTTTAAATAGGCCTTTCCAAACATCTTTATTACAGTATATATTTTTTTTTATGTGGCATGATAAAAATACTCTTAGTTATAAACATTTTTAAGAGTTGCAAAAATGGAATTTTAAGTACAAATGTAGCATAAAAAAAAATTTAAAAAAAAACAGATTCTGATATTTTAGAATTTTGCAGTAGTGTCCCAGATTAATGCATATTACTATACTCCTACGAGAAAAAGAATACTCCTACGAGAAAAAGAATTATCCCTGAAACTAACCCATATTCTACAAGTTTATATTGTTCGCTTTTTATTTATTGTCTCCCTAAAGTAGATGGCTATGCGATCACTGACCATCATGTACAGCAAAATAGAATGCTAACTTAGTGACCTCACTATTTCAACATGAAACAGTTTCAGATGATTCACTGACCAATAATACTGAGAATTATTACATAAGTATTATGTCTGGTTCAAAGCTCCTAATACAATCTTCAGCGAAGCTTAGCTATAGGATATTGAGTCACATAATCTGTTTATGCTAAAAAAATAATTCCCAGCTGAGTTAGTAGTAGCCTCGTCATTATGAATTAGGTGTACTATAAATTATGGTTTAGTTTTTAGATCGCAAATGAATTTTTAATCTTTGAATCTATGGAATAGTATTATCTATTAATTTTGAGATGAAAATTATAATTTTTCTTCATAATTGGTTCTCTTGTAATATCACACTAATTATAATTATATATAAATTTTCTAAAGCTATGTAATATCAAATTTAACATTTATATTTTAACTGCTGTTAATTTTGCCTCACTATTAATAAACATGAATATGATTACTAGTGTTAAATTTTAAATATATTTTAATTAAAACTAATTTTACCCAGAAATGATTCTGTTGGGATAAAGATTCAAAATCATGTAAGTCCAATATATGGCTTATCGCAGATTTTATGCCTGAAATTTAAAAGATATGAATATTAGAAAGTCTAATCAATGTATCTGATGAATTAATAAATTCTCAGAAATACTCATTCTCTGACCTTTGAACTTAGACCATACTAGTTATTCGATATTGTTGAAATGGATGGTGGAAATTAATTCACTTCATAACTGATATTAACACTCCACTATTTTCAAATGATTGTAGAATATTGGTGTTTTATCGTGGCGACAATTGTATTTGATTGTCAATGATTTAGACATGCAGTCGTTCAAACCCATAGAACTTTTGGTGGGAGGTGCTGAATTTATGCTGAAAATTATTTTTTCTCATTGATCCATTAATTTTAAGTGATCTTTTGAGCAGTAGTGGCTTTAGGATATATTGTCTTGGGTTGGGGGAAGAGAGTTTGGGAGGGTTGTGCTCCCCCTCTTTAATGAAATTTTTTTAAATAAAAATGTTTAATAGAGACTGGATGGCTGGAAATGGCACTCTCAGACTTAAAAATCTTGATAAATTTCTCTAAAAAACTCATTTCATTTCATCAGCCTTACTGGTATTTGTTATTTTTTATTTTTTGGTCCGACAGTCTGACAAGCTCTAGCCTGGGCAGTGGGGGGTGGGGGGCTTGACCTGTCTAAAAATTTGTTTGTACACTTACATTGTTGATGAAGTTGACTTACCAAAAAAAAAGACCAAAAAATGTCTGTGTGTGTATACATTATGTAGCACTATATAAACTGAGAAAAACTCTCCTTTTTTGTCTTAGTTGCCATCCAAAATTATTGTTAATAGAAGCGAGTTCTGAGTGGTATGGGTTAGTACTTCTAACCAAATGGTCTATGTTCATGTTCGATGCTGGGCACATCATGGAATGTCTTCTTAGATAAGGCAATTAAATTATGTTTGACTACTCTCTACCCACAAGTATGCCTGATAGGATCTTGGTCTGGTGCCCTTTTAGCTACACAACTTGTAATACTGCCCCCAACGAGGCCTCCTTGCTCTTCCAGGGAGCTGAGTATATTGCAGTGGATGTTACAGGATAGATACCGACTGCCTCCCTACTGTTTAAACATTTGTAATAATTACCTGCACATTGGAACAGTTTCCTAGATACATTAACTAATGGCTGTTACTAAAATATTATCATAGTTTTTTTTTAGTTTCCTGATGTATATTATGTTAAAAATTAAAATGAATCCAAAATTTGTAAAGATAAATCAAGAGATTTTGAAAGTGAAAGATGATTGTTTATGCATTTTAACCAAAATAAATGTGTCTTGAAGAGGTTGATGCAATTTGTTTTTTTTTTTAAAGATAGGATGTATTATATATACAGTATTAGAAAAAGTTATGAAATCTTCCTTATGATTGTGCAATGGGATATTAGCTTGAAAGGTTTGCGATGTTGATGCAGAGACATTAACAGGTGCTGAATTGGAACTATAGGTTTAAGGTGTAAATGATCTAGATTATGTGTATTGAAAGGTAGATTAGTGTTTTTTTAAAATATGGTTTGTATAATTCTATGGGTAGGTATGCGGTTTATTTTACAATACTGTATAAGCACAATCCTCATTAACACAAATTTAGGTCGATTTTAGAAAATCCACTTTTAAATCTTTTTTTTCAGCACTGCATGCCTAATTCAAAGCCAATGTTTGACTTTTCCCCTTAAAAGTATTTGTATTACTCATTCAAATCATAATCTGGGCTTTTGCTTAAGAAAAGGACAGTATGTAAAATAGGGAAGAAAATTAAGGGGTGGGTACATGCAGTGGGTTTTATACCTGAGGGACTATGGTAAATAAATTGTATAATTTTTTTTATTATTAACATATTTTGTTTTAATCATCAACAAAATCACTACTATCCTCATTATAATCTAACATCACCATCATGTCATCATTACCATCAATTTTTCAATTACAAAATAAGCCTTCAAAGATAGTATACTGTTTATTTTTGTTCAAATTCACATTCAATAGCAACGTTCTTCCTAATAATTCACATGGCTTCTGGAAGGGCAAAATTCTTTTCAAAAAATTAATACCATGATTACGATGAATTACGAATTCAGTGCTAATGCAGGTGATACATAATTGAATAAGGTGTGTTACTTTATCATTGATACATATAATGGAGTTAGTAGAGAATGCGTAATTCTCTCAAGAATTGCTTATTTCATATGGAAAACCTGTCACCTGTAAGTGGCGGGTTTGTACTCATTGTTGGTCTAGAGTTATATAATCATAATCATTGCTCTTTATAATTATGCATTTTTTTTTTGCTATATTAATTTATAATCAGGTTTTTTTCTCTCCCATTATATATTCTTTTATATCTGTCTCTTATACACATCTAGATGTGTATAAGAGACAGATATAAATATAGCGAAAATTATAATAAATATGTAATTTTTTCTTGGAGGGATTAATGATTTGATTAATTGCATTAACACATCAATTGAAAAGAAAGCGGCTAAGAAACAACGTCAAAAGATTAAGAATTCTGCTACGCTTCGCGAGAAGGAAGTAAAGAAACAATGTAAAAAGGCTAGAGCTGGTGGCAAGCTTTGCAAGAAGAGCGGATATAAGAAGAATAAGAAAAAAAGGGTAAACCGCGAATAAATACACTTGAACAAGAATTTGATGCTTTTGTTCATGAACAGGAATCTCCAGCCGCGGCCGC